CAATAAATTGTCCGAGGAAATTGTGTAAAAGCTCTAGGCTGGAGCAATTACCACAGATCCTTGAGCTCGACGACGATGGCAGATGACGTCAAATTCTGAAGACGGTGACGGCAGTGGAGGAGAGCTGGAATCTACATTATAAGGAGAAATTGGGTGATATTCTATTGTAAGCCTATGTGAAGAAAAAATGGCTGAAGTGCGAAAAAAACTTTTCCTTTTTGAGCATATACCTCTGCACAGTGCCACGAAACCTGATACTATCCTCACAAAGCGTTTGGGGAAGAGGAGGGTAGGAGGAGTGGGAGGGGGAGGGAGACTCAAAACAGGAGCTGGGCTTGAATTGCTTCCCTTTGATGACAAGAAGTTCAATATCAGCGGCCCAGTTGCGTTGTTCACTAGTTGAAAAATCTTAGAAGAATCTGCTGCTGCTCTTCTGTCGAAGGCGATTTGCTTATGGTCTGGCTGGCTCTGCTTCAACTTTTCCTCATTTTCACCTTCCTACTTTGTCTTCAGTGAACTTCAGCTGAATATAGGAGGGTTGAGCAAGACCACACACTCTGATCTGTTCTCGCAGTAGGTTACTTGAAGACACAGTCGGGATCAGGTGCCAGAAGCCAGTCCCTCTTGAGTGGGGAAGAAGGATCCCTAAGGGCAAGAGTCGCGGCACTGTCCCAACCCAAAAGTGCGCCTTCCTTTTGAATCGCAGAACGTTTACATCCTCTCGCGTTCCACGTACTCTTACGTGTTTTCCCTCTCCTCGCAGCGCTGTGTCTCCCGGCCATACCACGGCTGGCAAGGAAATTTTAGAGTCTGCTATGACTTTCCCATAAATCTATCTCATCGCAGTTCTTGTCTATTTACCAACATTTATTAATGTTTAACAAAATAGCGCATTAATTCGATCCGTGCCTTTAACTGTAATGCAGCGTAATGCAGCATCGTGAGAAAACTCATGAGGAAGCGTACAAGCGAACAACTGACTTCATTAGAACAGTAGCACGGAATGTATGTGCACATATTCCGTGCTGACCGTTCTGATGAAGTCAGTGAAACATATCGAGACCATCAGGATAATCTTTGCTAGCCCGTCAACACGAGTAGTCCGAAGTTCAATGATAAGTAAAATCGAGGCTGTCAAGAAAAGCAGAAGGTTATCCTGAATTACTACAATGAAGAGATTTTGCAATCACGTATTCATTTCTGCATTGTAGAATTTGCAAGAAGAGTGACCTATCATTTTGCACAACCCCTTGGAACTAATAACTTCTTGCAAAAACACCCGAAACGGCTTGGACAAGCAGGCAATCTAAGAATTAGGTTTTTTGTAGGTGTGATTTTAGCGGTGCAAGTTGTGCTAGAAGATTTTCCTGGAAGTTTAAGTAATCATGTTTCCAGGAGGTTCTCCTAATCATTTTGCCCAACACTGGTAGTCAGCTTCGTTTGTCTGTCTGTCTGTCACGAATTAACGGCATTGTCAGATGACCCACCTGTTAAATCTCGGCTTAGTTTGTTGGATAAAGCTTGAGTCAAAAACGAAGACAAAACACTACATCAAAAAGGCGGAGCGCGCCACCGCAGGGGGTCGGCAACAGCAAGATGACAATGGCGCGCAGTTTTTTTTTCTTTTGAATTTCAGAAGAGAGTGCAGAAACAGGAAAAAGGTAAAAGTGTGCAATGGCTGGAAGGGGAGACATAAGAAATTCCCTTGTAGCGGCCGTCAGGATGGGCGATGTTCAATAAAAGCAATTCATGCGCAGTCATAAAACCTATAAAAGGTATTACATAAAAGGATGATGTGGTGAGAGCTGGCAAAGGTGTCAAAAGTACTATTGAACCTAACGGAGAGCCGCCCACTACGGGCAAGTTTACACCCAGCGCAGTCCTTGAAATTTTTGATTCCAAAAGTATTCGGAGGCCAGGAAAGGCGCGTGAAGGCTGGCGGAGGAGGGGAGTCAAGTTGTATGTATATAGGTTGTAAGGAAAGCTCTTGTCGTTTGCCATAAAACCGATATTCGTCGTGTGTCCAATTAGACCAATCCACATATTGTGGTACTTAGGTAAGCAAAGGGTTGCTCTTTCTCAAAAAAACACTTTCCCCGAAATTCCATAATTTTTGAAAATAATGGGTCATTTTCTTGCAGCATGGATAAGACTGCTTTTCGAACGATTTCAATTCATGAGTTCAAAACTTGGTCGAAAAAGTTTGGATGTGGAGACGATTTGCAGGAAGACAAAGAGCGAGCTGGCCGACCATCGTTAGTTGATCACAAAGGTTTGATAGAAGCAGTTGAAAGAGATCGACATCAACCTCTGAGAGAGATCGATAAGAATGTTGGCGTGTTCCCATAGAGTTGTTGCTGATACCTTAAACAGCTTGGAATGGTCAAAAAACTTGACAAATGGGTGCCGCATCACCTCACGGAGCAGCAGCAGTTGAGACGCCTGGAGGTTGCAAGTTCGCTCCTAAGAAGGAACGCTATTGAACAGTTATCGGATCGTATCTTGTGGTGAAAAATGGATACTATATGATAACAAAAACGTTCTCCTTAGTGGGTAGCCAAGGATGAACCTCTGACAAGACAACGATCGCAGTTTGGTAGTCCTACCATGGATTGATCCATCACACCTTTCTTCCTTCTGGTCAATTCATCACCGCACAGTCCTACTGTGATCGGATTCACGAAATGTACGCGAAACTGGAGTGGACACAGCCAGTACTGGTGAATCGCCGTGGTTCACTACTTCTGCACAACAATGCGCGACCGCTTGTTTCACAAATCGTCTTCCAGGTTTTACGAGTTGCGGATTGAAGCTTTCCCTCATGCTCATCACTCACCAGACCTAGCACCAACTGGCTCTCATTTTTTCAAACAACTGAATAGCTTCTTGGAGAACACAAATTGTAACATCAAACGCGCCGAACGTGAAAACTGCTCTCGTGTGAAATTCTTGGTCCAGACGTCAGGCCCTTTAATAAGAATGGAATAAGCAAATTGTATTCACAATATCAGAAATGAGTTGATTCGAATGGGGGCTCACTTTGAATAAAAGTGTTCACTTTAAAGGTCGAATTCACGCTGGGAAGCAACCCGTTTCAAATTAAGTCAGGGATGGTGACTGGTTTACAAAAGAAGGAAATGGGACCCCTTCTTCCCCGCTGATTTGCGCATTGATGCGACTCTTATCGCTGTGCCCTCCTCAACATCACTCTCTCTCTGCTATCTAATCAATCCCACGTATAGATCTGCGGCGAGTGATCAGCTGGTCGGTGGGCGGAGATCGCCAGACCCGCCAACTTTGAGGCATAATAGGTCGCCGAGGTCAAATTTTTCGATGCGAATTGCGCATCAGTTCGCACCCTCAGGAGGTCCGTGGGTTACTCAACTAGGTGAATTACTTCTTCCTCGACCTCCATTCTAATCGTAAAATCCTCCTTTAAACCCCTTTAAGCCTTTAAGCAGAGTTACGATTTCTTGAAGAAGAGCTTCGAAATGGCCAGAACTTTCTTACAACCTAATATTAGTGGGTCGGGTGTGAGCCGAACTAGGCGGGATTTTCCACGGATTCTAATTCTCAGAATAGCTCGTAGAAAGATGAACGTAAAAAGTCGAGACAAACGAGGCATAAGAGGTGAGAATCGAAGTGGTTGGCGGCTTGCACCAAAGGGCCAGGTTCACTTCGGTTCCTGAACGGCCCAGACGCCGCGAAAATACTGGAGAGTGACAAGGAGAAGGTTTTAAATGGTAATGGGCGCAGTCAAATCATAAGGTTTCGAATTGCCTTAGTCCAGAGCAGAGCCAAACTGGTAAACATGTAATTTCTGAATGTAATTCTGTAATTTCTATAGGCAATAATTTCTGAACTGCGTGAAACCTAAAAAGCATCTCCTTGGACCTTCCTACTCGACAAATCTGATTGTTGATGTTATTCATTATCCTCTTATGAGTTGACATTATCCTCTTTCGAGATTCCAGCCGATCCAGCTGAATACCTGTGTTTTCTCCTTGCATCCATGGTAACTTATAAAAAGCCTTCAGCCGTTCTAGTAAAAGAGACCCAGTTCTGCACTGACGAGCTTTTAAAATTGTCGTTAGGGCTATAATTGCCATGTTTGGACCTGGAAAAGGCATAGTAATGTTGTCGGCGTTGCCCATGCCAGACGACGCAAATGTGCCGAAGCGATTCGGCTGTTTTTTGGTCAGGACATTTGTATGTGTTTTCAAAAATATCGAAAGAGAGTTCAAGAAAAATGCCGAAAACATCGGTTCACCGCCTGCAAATCCACCTGGAATGGCTGAAATAAGAAACGAAAATCAGGCATGGAATTGTTCGATAAAAATGGACCATGTTGAAAGGGGGAAGGGGTGGGGAGGGAAGACAACATCATGCTGAAGGGGGAGGAGGAAAGACCAACAATTAGCCTCCAGTGTTGACGCAAATAATGGATGCCCAGAAATGATGTCGAATCTGACGAAAAACTGCCAATATAAACTGCTGATTTCACTACTCATTTAGGAAGAATATCTCAGCTTCATGCTCGAAATATGTGGAAGCTTTTACACAAGGCCTTGAGTCCCTCACGGGAGGCAACCATCGTGGCGCGCATGCACGTGCCTTTAAATGCATCTCTGACTCTCCTAAGAGCACCCTGTGCTGATCCGATATTCTCCAGTAGCATCTGTAGACTACAGAACCCAACATTTCGGAGGACACCACTAGAGCCGATTGAAACCATACAGCGATAATATCGCTAGCCACGTCGCGGGCTGAAATATTTTGACTGCCGAAAGAGTTCGAAAACTCCGAGAAATTAGCTTGGACAGCGTTAACACTTGGCTTTCAACATCCTTTCAACATCCAGTCCATTTATCGGGGCTTCCTAACTTCACAAACCATTAGAAAGTGCTTCTCATCACTGCCTACACAACTATGAAACGTTGGAAAAATGCGTGGTGGGGCACATTGTCGATGAATCAGTCAATCTAGAGTAAGGCCTTATTCCTAAAAAGCGCTTCATCACTGCTTTTGTCCTCAAACGGAAACCAGGTATTCAAACCATTAGCGAGGAAAGTTCGGAAAAAAAAACTGAAGTAACCACTGCTTGCAGCCGTTCAGCCAGAAAGAGCTACTCATTCAAAGGCGATACTCTACTAGAAACTCGCGCTGCTCTGCCATATCTGTAGTGCATTTTTTAGCTACCTCCCTAATTTACTCTTGAAGGCAACCCGGGATTAGCCCGACTAGTAGGAAGGATACCGCGAGGGAAATTGTGGGTCCGTACCTACATAGATCATGCCAGCTTCGTTGCAAAATTGCGCGATTAGGGCGCTAATCCTTACGAACCTGCAACCATCGACCCTCGCTGCAACGCTTCCCACCCACCGCGATTGATGTAGAGATCAGCGTGCTCTCTCGAACGGCGTGCTCTCTCGCGTGTTTTGTCTTCTTTGATCGCCCTGTCTCGCCATCGTACCACATCCGACCTTACTGAAGGTTAAGGCCTTAATTTCAGCGTTCCCAAAGATTCTCTTGCTTTCCTTTCCACTTTCAGGTCATTCCGCAGCTCAGTCATCACCAAAGCGCTATATGCACCAGTTTCCTCCCTATGCTTGCCTTTGAATTACAAATCATTTCATTCCTTGTGCCATATACCGATGAAAAGGACAACATAGGACCTTCGTGGTTAGCCGGAGAGAATGATGCTTCGCTTCTGCCGGCCGCTATTTCATCGCCGCCTTACTTTTAAAACGAAACTAGCGTACTTATTCACTAGTAGACAGCCTTCCTAAGTGCCCATGGGCCATTCCCTTAGGTCCGTGTTCAGGTTAAAAAGTTTTTGCAACCGCCCCTGTCGTGCTTATGTATTCAGAGCTCGATGGCTCCTGTCTCTGGCTTACCTGCTGCAAGCCGATGTGATTCCTTTCCTAGTGTCAATTTTACTGGATATTTGAGTCAATCGACTTCCATTAAGATACTACCTTATTACTCGTATGTCATACTCTATGGTCAATAATAATATAATTTCAAAAAAGTGAAAACAAAACGAAAACGCTATGAATTATTTCAAAAGCCAGGATCACGAGAAAGATATTCTGGAGAATCCCATCATTACACCAAAGTATTATTTTGCTGAATGAGTAATGTATTTACCTCTCCTTATACTGAGAAGGAAATATGTAATGAAACACGATACATGTACTCACTAAATGAGACATTACTTCAATGCTGCTTCTACAGCAAAGATCTCTCACTACCTATCTGGAATTTTACATGCGTTTCAGGGAATAGAAAAGCCTCGATTACATATTCAGAGGAAATAAAAGGGAACCTAAGAACGACCACGATGTGTGAGGGCTTCTGTTTGTTTAAAGGAAGAAGAGCATTAAAGGAGGATATGAGACAACAGGGGAAGAGCCCAGTCATAGACGCTCTCTGTTCTGACTCATTTTCTGAAAAGTTAGTTCGGGGCGTTGACGGCCAATCGGTCAGAGGCTTTCACAAAATGCTGTCAACGAAACGCTTGGCCAAGCACAAAGAAACAGGTGGAATGGGAGAAAAACGTTCTAAGTTGAGATCGTTCCATCCCGAAAATGGAACTAGAAATCTACTTGCACCTCTGCTTTTATTATCAAGGCCGATATAGCACGGCCGAAACTTGGTGATGTTGGATTTTTAGGAGGATACGGATGAAGGGAAAGAATAAAGTAATCGACGTTGATTGGTCGCACTCTATCCCTTCCGATTGAAATATAATTGAATTGAGGAATCATTGAATCAGCCATAAAATATAATATAATGAGAAGGTCAGCGCTTGTGCTATGTACAAGCCGACGTGTGCTTTAGTCATTCCATACATAAGTAATCCTGAAAGGAAGTATATAAGAGTTGCAAAATGCTCTCAGAAATATGTTCGAAATGATTGGTGAGATGTTTTCGATTACGCTCAAAATGTCTGCTAGGGTCCCTTGGGTGCACCTTTTTGCGCATGTCACGTTTTCGTCAGCAGAGGGGTTCGAGCACAAGAGTTAAACTGATGGACCAAGGTAGACACGTATATTCCCCTGGACTTTCGTGTGTGACCAGGATCTAGATTCATGATCGATATCTCGGTGGGCTCCTTTGCTCATGACTTAGTCTTGTTATTAACAATTCAACTTAGGCAACGTAACAAGTAGCCAGTTTTGAAATTCTCTTGGAATAT